AAATTCAGGTTTGTAAAATCCTCAATATAGCATTCTTCTTCTTCTTCATTTCTCCAATTGCGTGCCGAAAGTGGTGCGCAATTTGAAATATGCAAATTAGGGAGGTACGGGCGGGCGGAAAACAGGAACTTCAAGGTTATTGTTTAAAGAATGTCGGATTGGACAACACGGCCTGCGGAAGGCAAGCTTAATCCTAATAATAACTTATCACTATTTCTAAATTGTAATCCACCCTTATTATTTAACTCATCCCTGACCCTAAATCTAACCTTAATTTATCCCTTAAGCGTTTGATTAAGTTCAGCCAGAAACGTTATCCTAATATAGTATCCCTACCTAATTCTAATCAGTGGGCATATTACGGTAATAAAATCTAAAGACATAGATATTAGACCACCATCCTAAATTGCCTCACATGAAGTTCATTTTCAGTGCATTCAAGCCGTCTGCATTAAATATTTTCAGTGATAAGATTATCGTTTCTACTTAAGGCTGAGTGATGCATCTGAAGTGACTGTATAGGGCTGTCCACTTCCGGTCCCATGCCACGCATGCGGTCACGTGATTGCAAGTCTCACCCGCCTCTGGATCTGTCAATCAAAGGTGCCGAAAGCTGCGTCAACGATCAACCTCTTGCCTCTCGTGGCCGTTAGCATGTGCGTAATTTTAGGGCGACCCAATACATCTAGCGAATCAACTTCAAAGCTGACTCATGCAAAGACCGCTCTTGGACGCTGTGATGACTGCGGACGGACTTGCACTCATCCAACATTAAACTTCCTCCCTCCTATTCTCCACTTCTTCTGTACAGAATAAACTATTTCTGACATCGGCGTTTCCTTTCTTCTCTTCTAACACGGACCGAGCAAGAGTTTTCCCTATTAACTTAAAACACTGCGGTACATCCGTAAGCAAAGTGAATATAAGTCAAGGAATTTGAAAGGTTGGTTTGAACTGACACCTCCTTGCTGAATTTCAGGGGCAGTGTTTTGTAGTCAAGGATTGCAAATGTCTTGGTCAATGTCTTGGTTTTTCCCAGCCAAGCAATAGTAGGCCTACCTGCACAATTTTGACGTTCACAAAAGAGGACAGGTTTCCACCGATCAGCTTTGCAAGATCCAAACTTGTAAAACTTCCGCCATCCACCGCCGTTGTTGAACTGCAGTCTTTTCGCGTGTAGAAGCACACAAGTTGTGCTTTGCGTTGCACGTTCTCGATCAGCAGTGTGATCGTGGCCCGCAGAGAAGCGAATCGTCGATGCTGTGAGTTGGGATTACTAATCACATCATCAATTACGCCCATTAGGAAGTTGTCTATGGCGGTGAGGTTGCATTTGACCCCGTTCACCTTCACCGTGTCGTCACAACGTCCACACACGTAAAGTTGACCATTGTTAGGCGACACGAAACCAATGTCACCAGTTCGGAAAAGAACTTGGAAGCCTGATCTTGAGGCGAAGGCGTTGGGTAAAGTGGGAGTAATTACAGCCTGTCCCGGGAGCGCTTGGGCGGATCTGAAAAATGAGCAAAGATAAACATGCGTAACGCGCTTATGGCACGAGAACGCCCACAAATCAATCACGGGACTCGTTCGTCTCATTTTGGTCTTGGGGCTCACTCCCGTTCCTCGCCAGCAGTCACACAGCAGTCATACGCAGATGAAAATTGCGCCGCTTACTGGAACGCCGACACAAGACACAACAAATAACCACAGCCTGTTTCGTTGACTATAAGACTGCCTTTGATTCCACCGACAGACAAGCCTCGTGGCAAACATTGCTTGCTGATGGTCTCCCAATAAAGTTGCTCAAACTTATCAAAGCCTACTGTAACACAATATCAGCCCGATTAGCAGCTCTTGGTGAAGGATCAGATTCTTACCTACTGACGTCTTGAGTTCTACAAGGATGCCCTCTTTCCCCAGTCCTCTTCAACTTCTTGATAGACTGGGTGATGCTTGTAATAGTACATGTGGAATGAGCCCTTAATTCAGAGCTCCAGATCTGGCGTGTACGGACGACTTTGTCGTGCTTGGTAATACCTCTTAATAACTAGAGCCAACGTTTGACTTCATCTCCAGCTCCGCTACAACTGTTGGTCTGACGATCAGTGCATGCAAGACGAAGTACCTGATAACGCATTTTGAAACAGCGTAACCACTGCTTATCAGTGATCAAACCAACGAAGAAGTTACGTGCTTCCGCTAGTTGGGCTTTAATATATTAGCTAACGGACAGAGCAAAGAATAAACCAGGAACCGAATCGCGCAGGCTCGAAATGCACCTAGGCTACTTGCCAGACCACGCTGGTCTCGCTCAGACATCAGCTTACGTACTAAACTGTTACTATACAGAGAATCCATCAGACAAGTGTTAGTATATGTCTGAGGAGGATGGTCAGCGAGAAAGGCAGAAATTCTATCGCTCGGATTCTTTGATCGTTGGTGTCTTGGACGTCTCTTAAGAGGCTCCTGACAGGAGTAGCATTTCTAAGGTTGAGCTATATCGCAGGTGTTTCAAACTTCCGAGCCTAGCACCATACATCCAGCATCATCGATGAGAATGGTTTGTCATGTCCTGCGCAAGCCACCGACGGACCTCTGCAGATTGGTCTTGAACCCCTCTCGCAATGCAAAAGGGAGATACCGATATGGCTGAAGACTTGGCCGAACACTGTCAAGCAGGACGTCGAGTACATGGGTCTCGTAACCGTTTACGGTTTAAGACAATGGAAAAAGCACTGGGTTGACATCTGCGAGGAGCTCCCTTCCGATTGCCGCTAATGGGCCACCGCTATTTGTGGCATCCATGAAGCCGATTCATCCAAAAACAGGACCTAATTGGATCACGTACAAGTTAAGTAAGTACAGATGAGCATTACCGACAAAGACCAAGGAGAATGTAACGGTCATTTCTGGCTCATTGGGCGTCATCAGTCAGTCATACCCGACCGCAGATGGTGCCATCGCCAAATGTGACATTAGAAACGAAAAATAAAGCTCAAATAGAGGCCCCGAAAAAATCTTGTGCGGTCTCAAGTATCGGAATAGTAAAATTTGGATGGATCTGCGATGATAACGCTTATCGGAACTGTAGAAGAACGCCTCTCCCAACAACACCTACTGAAGGAGTTTACTGACCTCATGATAATTTATCAGGAACATTTCCCCGTCTGAAGCGGTTTTAGCGACTAGCCATTGAGAAGTTTTGGACATCATTTAAAGGAATCGTAGCAGAGAATGCAGATATTTCAATACATGACAGTTCAAAAATCACGAATGAGGAGACCCACCGTGTATCTTACAACTAACTAAGTGCGGGGACGGTGACTTGCCCGTGAATTAATTTAAAATGAGAGTAAATTTGGGATGCGTTTACTTGAACCTCCCCTCCCTCACCCGTCTAAGGCACGGAGATAAGAGGCAGGGTCGGCACGATCGTTGGGAAAGTTATATATGCCGTCTACGCGTGCCACACACACGATAGATCAGGCTTCCACAGAGGGGAAGGAAGAGCGGCTTTGATCCCACCTGTGTGAGTGCCATGGAGGCTGCTATGAAAAGGAGCCACTGTAGCCTGACCTGAAGGGATCGATTCATCCCACCAGTTGTCCGGCCTCCAAGCCACGACTCTAAGCTCCTCGTGGTACTTGAGCAACTTGCCGAGTAGTCAACAGTCACGGCGGAAAAGTGCTTTAGTGGCTGGCACGATGTGAGCTTTCATTTATGCATCTCTTCACATCCCCAAATGCCGTTACCGCGTAATGCACCGTAATCTGGCTTCCGTGTTGCTCCCACAACAGCCGTATACACTGCGACCCTCACAGAAAATCGAAAACACTCTTGACGCACGGGCTTCAGGTAGTAATCTTCTTATGTGACGACAAGATTGGTTGCAGGCCATGTAAATATGTATTTGAAAAAAAACAACCAACAGGGATTTCACGCTGAAAGCGCTTGGTAAATACTGAATTGGTAGAAGGTAGTGCGCAAATCTATAGTGAGCTATGATTAGCAGTTACTGAGATTGGAAAAGGCTGAGCTCCAGAATGTGGGGGTGGGGCACTTGACTCATTCTTCTTACTGCTACTACAGATATGCACTAAGAACGTGCAGTTCCTGTTCAACGGGCAGCTGCATCGACAAATCGACGGCGTAGCTATGGCCAGTCCATTAGGACCAGTCCTAGCAGATATTTTCATGTCGAACCTTGAACGAAAACTGGCCAAACACATAGAGAAGACTGCTTTTTATAGCCGTTACGTGGAGGACATTTTGGTCATAGTCGAAAATCCTAAGAAGGGAGAACT